ATGTGACAGCCAGAGGAGAGCAGACCATTAATCACACAGTGTAGGAGGGATGGGTGAGAGCTGCTGGCAAAGGAGGCAGAAAAAAGAGACGGGGCAAAATGGGGTGTTGGTAGTGCACACGTGGATGGGAGACATGGAGGAGCAGGAGGGTGATGTTAAATAAGGAACTAAATGAAGGGAGATCACTACAGAGCAGTGTGGGAAAGTACAGTTATGTAAAATGTTTACTGTGGTGTCAGGAGGTTATTTAGGTGTCTTATGGTGGTTTCATGCTCATTCTCATGACTTGATACTTTTTCATTTGGTGCTTTCAACCTGAAAAAAACCATTCAAACGGTGTTCATGGAGCAGCACAGGCACGTCTGCTGCAAGGTAGCAGGAGTCTAAAGAGCTGGTCAGAAATGGGAGATACTTCTGATGAAAAAGGTTTTAAAAATTTTAAAAATACCAATTTTGCTCAGATTTGTTGTGCCTTTTGGGAGGAAGGCACAGGAGGAAGTAAATCTAGTTCATTTTTTTCCTCTTTATGTTTCTCCCTGATTTTTTGCTGAAAACCATTCAGATCTCAGCTAAAGCATTTCTCTGCTTGTGGAAACCATGCTTTGACACATCTTAAATGAAGTGGTCAAATAATTTTGACCAGTTTTAGAAAGAAACTGGTCAGATTGAACTAGGTCTGCTCCTCCCAGACAACTCTCAATGTGAGTGATTTCATCCCTTTCATCCATTCAGGTCTCAGCCCATTCTGAGACCATCTCTTCCACAAGCATTACATGTAAGATTTGAGGCTGTGACCTTCTCCATGAGCTGTTTTGTTTTACCGGGCCAAATCCTGCAAAGATTGTTCCATTTATATTCAGTTCTTGCTGAAGTTGATGCCACAAGTCTCTTCCAACTATAAAAGCCTGAGTCTGGCTGGTACAGCTACTCCATATTTACATGTGTGAAACCAAGAACAGATTCTGTTTCAAAATGCAAGGAAGGACATCAGGGATTAACTCACTGTGGTCTCCTGGGTCTCTAGGTATGTCAGTGAATACAGTATGCAGACCCAGTAAGAGCCATGCAAAGTTGTGCTAAGAAAGGAGAAATGTGAGATTTCTCAGGCATGGCCTTAGATACAATACAAACAGCTGAAGACATCTGTGGTTTCCCTTTTCAAATCCTTGTCTTACTGAGTTTAAGCACTCTTCCTGCCTTTGAGGAAAGTGGCAGATAAATTACCCATGAAACAACAGCATAAGTATCAAGTGAGACTCAGGGAATTAGGTTCTGAGTATATCCCTGAGACCATTTGTTGTAGCTGGTGCATTTGTCACACTCTGCTAAAATGTGTTGAAGGTGATGTGGCATGCTGCCTGCCAGAGACAGCAGTTCTGTTAAATGCAATCTGCTCTTCTAGTTCCTTCTCTGATTGCTTTGCAGACTCCAGCAGTGTGGTAAGCCCTTTCCATGAACCCCTGGCAACCAAGACAGGCTGTGTTACTTCCAGCTCCCTGGAGTACCTTGAAATCCAGCAGCCATCCCCCAGGACCCCTCGGCTCCTCAAGAGGCAAGAGTCTCCGCAGCAGGAGCTGGCCCGGATCGGGGGCCGGGCAAAGGACTCCCCTTTCATCCTGAATATTGTGCACTCCTTCGAGTCAGTTGACAGAGAGGACCAAATAGACCAGGTTTCCCCCTCTCATCAATACAGAATTTTAGGCTCACCAATGAATTTCCCTTACAAAAGCTCAAGTGAAAGGACACTGTCCCCACTCTTTCGGGGAGCACATCCCCCATCCACCCTACCCAAGTCTCTTTCACATATGAAGAGAAAACATATCCAGCAAAGGAAGAAGCAGTGTCCCCTACTCAGCTGGTTTCCAACAATCCCTTGGGCAGCCCTAACTGTGTTAAGAGCAGAGGCAGGTTCCCCATGATGGGGATTGGACAGATGCTGCGGAAGAGGAACCAGACGATGCAGCTGGTGAGTGACAAGCCTCTGGAAGCCAGGATGCCTCAGCTACAGCAGATGAGCCCCATGCAGATTTCCTTCAGTGCAACAGATGCTGTCAACGGCCAGTGTTAGCCTGGCATCCTGGGATTTGCACTGCTGTTCTCTGGGATATAACCTTTTTCTGCTTTTAACAAGAAGGGAAAGCCACAGGCATGTTACTGTCACTGTGTAATATACCACAGTGGTCCAGTGTAGGAAACTGGAGGTCTGCTTGTAAGGAAGGCATTGTCCTACATACTGAAGTTGAAAGAAGAGGGCTCTGCTTGTGCTGTTAAGAAATATTAGCATTTGGCATCTGACTGTACAGTAAAACATGCCTTGAAAGAGCTACATGAATATGTATTTTCACTGCTCTTATCTAGTATTGCAGTAGGGTTGGTTGGAAGGACCGCAAGCACTAACCGTTTGGTTCCTCAAGGTTATCTGTGTGATGCCATGAATGCCAGTCCTGTCCAGGATCTGTGGTAAGACTGTCTGTGCTCCATCTGCCTGTGCCCCACAGTACATGGTACTGCTATAGGCATTGTTCAAGGAGTAGGCAAGGGCAAAAACTCTAGATACTCTGTCCAAAGTCAGCTTGCTACCAAGCACTGCCAAGAAGATGAAGTTGGTAGAAGCTTGAAAAAAGACACAAGTGATCTATACATTCAAAAAAGTGTGAATATTGGAAGTCAAAGCAGATTTTACTATTATATAAAGTAGCTAATGGTGGAATAATTTTTTTCCTAAAGAAAATTACATCACAAGAAATATGATTATTTAAAAACAAGTTTCATCACGTGGAAATTCACCGCACTAAAGGCCTGTTCCTTTAATATGATGGATCTGCAAGCAGATGCTTCAATCACGAATCCAGATTGCAACAGGCTGTGCTTAAACAATCCAGACAACACCTGTGTTAGCCCCTGTTACCGCATGGCAGCATTGGACACACCTGAAAGCTTTTCTGAGAGACTGCAGTGAATTAAAAAGGCTAATACAGGACACATGAACCTGTACCAATGCCATTTTCTACTGCAAGATTGGTAATACAGTGGTTACCAAAAATTGGGTATTGTTATGAACAGTCTTTCTTAAAAGACACCATGTTCTGCATACTGGTCTTGTTTTTCTAAGTAAATGATACATGTGAGAGGGTGGCAACATTTTTTTGGCTCAGTTTTTGTCTTCAAACCATTTCCTATAAATGAGAAGGTTTAGCCAAAGACTGCTCTCTCCTCTGGTCTGTACCGCCCTTGCGTACGTGTCTGTGTGTGCAGAGTGTCTCAACAGAGCTGGTTCCAGTCTGGCTCCCACATGGGCAGCCCTGGCCCACACACACCCCACTGCTGCCCACCCATTTAATGTCATTTCAAAGCCAGGGAAGCAGAGGCATTGTCTTCCTGGAGTTGTTGAAGGATGGGGATTTTGCCTTTATACTATCAATAGGAATCCAGGACTTACTTTCATCTATATTTTTGCAAACAATTTTGTTGCCCCATTGGTTTGGTATCTGTGCAAATGCTGAGAGTTACCCCTGTTTGAGAAGTTTTCCTTCCAGTTTCACAAGCAAGATATTCAGGGCCTGGGGCAGGAGGGTCAGCAGAAGCAGGGAAGGTCTCCAGGAGAACCCATAGCTGAGTGCATATCTCTTATTTGCAGCACAACACAGGTCTTACATCAAAATCTGCAAGAAAAAAATGGACATTAATCCAAATACTGACAGACAGATAACTGGACTATTCAGTATCCTGAACACTTGCTGGGAAAACCAGCAGAGCATGAATGCCCCGTGCACCCTTCACATCCCTGCAGGTGGCCCTTGGCACTGAAGCCACCCATCACTTCGGTATAGGGTGTCCATCTTGTACCCTTCAGTGTAGTGAGAACACCCTCTTCCGGGCTAGTTAAGTGGCCTGTAAAATAATATACATAAAAATCCCAATAGGATGAGAGAAACAGCCCTGAAATAATTTCATTTGTTTGTGCTGCAGAGCTGGTGCGCAGGAACCACTGAATTCCCACCCCTTGTGTGTGTACCTGAACAGATGGCAGAAGCTGACTCAAATTACAAACTCAGGTTTATTTGGAACCCAAGAAAAGGTTGGGGGAGGCAGGAAAGAGACATGTATTTTTTTGTGAAAACCCAGTAAATATGTGTAAGAATCAGAATGAAAATAAATGTTAAATCTTTTATTATATTTATAGAGAATATGAGTACTACACTGCTAAAACATAACCATGTAGTCAGTAGCTATGTACAGTCCAGCTGCAGTGGCCACAGAAGGGACTTACTGAAATACCATAGTGGAAATTCCAGAGGAAAAAAACTGTATTTGGTATCATTATTAAATATATGTACTTTTTGAACAAGATTGCCACAGACTGCTGACTCTGTTTGCCAGGTCGGTCACTCATGTAGCAAGGATAATCCAAGTACAAAAACTTCAAGGCCAGGTTGGATGGGGCTTGGAGCACACTGGTCTAGTGGAAGTTGTCACTGACCATGGCAGGAGTAGAACTGGATGAGCTTTAAGGTCCCTTCCAACACAGGCCATTCTGATTCTGTGAAAATGTTATAAATGACTGAGTCCTCAAACAGGATTGCAGTCAAAATTTACAATTTATTATGTGAATTTCAGCAAGCGAACAGCGCTGGGTGCGCGGGGAGTCTCTGCTCTACCAACACGCACCATACAGGTTTAGGTTTTGTTTTATGAACTCCTTGTCAATACATGTTCATGACTGTCCCAAAGAGGGGGGTCTGTGTCAGGACATGCTCACTTTGTCTCCTTGAGTCTTCTTGAACTCACCCAGGCTCCTGAGTAAACACCTAAAA